GGGTTTAGGTTTCAGGCCTTAAGCCTCAAACCCCAGACCCGAAACCCTAGACCACGGTGAACGACGGGGATAGAAAGTGATAGGGTGCTAGGTCTTTCAGCGACATGGGCCTTGCATGGATGGAGGGAGCGGCATAGTCCAATCGGCAGCAGTAGGGTACATCAGGGTTATAGGAAATAATGAGTTATATACTCATCTATTTACTGCCGCCACCACCATGGCAGCCGCCAATGCCACCACTACTCGTACCACTTCCACCTCTTCACCTGCTTGCTTTCACTTAGTACACGAATACTGCCCTAAAGGCAACCTGCATGACACAGGTTGTGAACAGCGCCTCGGTGCTGATCAGGCCACTGCATGATGATTCTGGGTCAGGCTGCTTCGTTCAGGATTTCTACCAAACATCCCCTGATATAATCCTTCAGTGAAACCCTATAATCGACCTTGTACTCTCCACATATCACCGGGGTCTCGAAGGATACCCCTGCGTTGAGAAGCAGGTCTTTGGGGGGCTATGATGGCAGGGGCTTTCCTACAGTGGGTGCTGTAACGAGACACTAGGGTTTAGGGCGTTCAGGGGTAAGGGCTTCGGGTGAAGTCCATAGACAATAGGTCAATCTCCCCTATAGTAATAGCTCCTTAGTATGGAGTTAATAGGGCCTTAATGTACCTACAATAGTCACTTGTGGTACCCATTAATTGCTGGGTGAGGGATTGTGAAGTCTACAGACCCTCAAACCGCAAGTCTTGACTGTATGGCCGTACGTGCCTCAAGTCCCAAGCCCTCGTATCTCTGAAGGCTTACGGCTTGCAAGCGTGCAGACTGGACAGGCCTGCAAGACTGAAGTCCTTGTGATGGAACCAGTTTCAAATCAGATGGTAGCTACAGATTCTGAGGACCACCCTCTGTTAAGAGATCCCCTACCACCCTCCACCTCAACAAAGGAGTACGTTTACCACAAGTACACTGGCAGGTGATGATCTTTTAGCTGCGTGAGTATGGACAATACTAGTGCTTGGTAGCACGATTGTCAGAATAGTAGCTTCTGGACAGGCTCTGGCGAAACGAGTGCACTCGGGTGTACGAGGATCGTTTCAATGAAGATTCTGACAAGGCACCTAGGAATAGTGGCTGAGGGATTGACGTAAACCTAAACCTGCTTGGAAGCCCATGGCTGCCCATAACCCAATCATATTTGTAGGCATAGCCTGGTTACCAACCATATCAGTTCATGAAGTGGGATCATAACTGCGTTCTAATGAAGTACCCTAGGTCCTAGTAAGGTGTTTTCATTGCTCGGGTTGCTCAGCTGTTGATGTAACCCGCCTCTTTTGTTGAGAGCCGGTTTAGTCATTGCACACAGACTGGTCCCAGGTAGTCCCGGAAAACAGTTTCTATAAGTATAACGCATTTCATTTTTCCGACTGACTAGCGAGCAGTGAGAAGAAGGAGAAGAAGCCCGGCAAGCCCACCCTAAGCCTTAAACCTGTCGGTTTAGGTTGGGGGCTGGAGGTTCTGGGTAGTTTCCCTACCTAGCGGAACCCTAATATAGATCCCCAAATTCTATACTCCTTTTTATGGGAACCCTCGAAAAGATACCTGAAAACATCAAACCCTTGTCCCTAAAGCCTATTTATTTCCTTGTAGATATCCCTATGAAACCTTATAAAAACCCTTTGCCCAGAATGTGGGGATAGCGCCTCATGGGGTCTGCATTTTAAGGCTGGATTTGCGTTGAGGTTTCGAGGTGCGGGCCTTCTTTCGCGGTTCAGGGTTTAGGGCTGGGGGTTTAGGGTTTAGGGCTTGGGGTTTAAGTTTTGGGGTTTAGGGCTCAGGGTCTAGCGTTTAGGGCTTAGGGTTCAAGGGTTAGTGTGTAGGGGTTAGGGGGTTTAGGGCGTAGGGTTTTGGCGCGGGAGCGAAATTCTACGGAAATGGCCTGTAGGGCAGTCGCATCAATGAGGGCTTGTAGTATAAGCCCCAAACACCATGCAGCGTTGAAAGGTTCCAAATGTGGATCGGGTGAAGTGTCGTGCCTGAACCCTGAAGTGACCAACCCTTCATATGGACAGGAATGTTGCTGGGCTGTCCTCTGGGATCTTTTTAAAATTACCCCGTTATTTTGTAGGGAACTGCAACAGTCAATAACTTTCAAAAGGCTTAAAGGACAACCCAGGTTGAACCTAAGAAGCAAAAAAGTATGACCCTTAAAGTCATCGCGGCTGAATGCCTACGGAACCGTCTTAATTTTCAAGCCGCTTGGCCATCCTAAACCCTAAACATCAGGCATTCCTCAGTGAGAAGCAGCTACACAACATCATCAAGACTCAGTTCCAGAAGAGCACCTCGGCTGTGTGGTGGGTTTAGGCGTCCAGCGCCCAGTGTTTAGGGTTTAGGAGGTAGGGTTTAGGGTTTGCAGAGGTGTAACGTGGTGATGGAAAGATTGACGGATGATGTACGCGCAGGTATTACAGTAGCCTCTCGCCCAAGCTTGAAATGCTTCCCTGCCACTCTCAGATGCCCCCTCCAGGACCCCTGACAGATGCAAGGTTTCCCAATGTGGTCAGATGCCATCCCACTCAATACAACGACATCATAGTTACACCATACACCTTACAGCTGACCCTAGACCCAAACTGAAGACCTGAAAGCCTACAGACGTTGCCGGTTGTTAAGCCGGAGTACCCGCTTCTTCCATACACCCTTGCATGCCTATGCCGGATATCCCAAGTGCTACACATTCCAAAATTATTTAGAGCTCGGAGTCAAGGGGCTCGGTGGGTTTAGGAGTTTAAGGTTGAGGGTTGTACGCGCAGGTGCTGATGCTGCACTCGCTGATCCTCTTGCCACTTGGCTCAGCTTCCACCCATGTCAAGGTTTGGAACGCAATGCATAGGGGAGTTTTCCAACATGGGGGGGGGGGGGGGNNTCCTTCTTGGGGATTTCCATAGAAAGGATCTTTTCAGCTTGAGATCTATTTTGGGCTCCCCCCATTCGTGGAAACTACCGTAAACACACTCATACCGCAATTGTTCCTACCATGGCAACAATCTGCAGAAATGGATGTTTACAGCAAAACCATCCTTGAGGGTTTGGGGTTTAGGGTNNAGGGTTGAGGGTTTAGGGTTGTCTGATGGCTGGACAAGTTGCGTTTCACGGAGTGTCGCGGTGACGAAGGAAATCTTCAGGAGTTTAAAGCAGCCATCCTATTTGGCCATGGCATACTAGGCCTACTGGTGGCTAGAAGGGACGTAATAAGGGAAAATACTCTCTATATACATTAAGATAACCCCTATATGATGTATTCCCTACTCTCTACGAAGTTTACTAAGCCTTATATAACCCCTATATAATCCTATATAAACCCAAATATGATGTACTCCCTTATTCTAAGCCCAATCAAGCAAGTAGGTGACTTTCCTTGTTATTCAACCAAAGCATCCTCATGGGCTTCATTTAAACACCCGAAGCCACTTTGTGCAGTTCTTAGTCGCCAAGACCCCATTGAAATGGGTTCAGGGATTTAGGGTTTAGGGTTCGGGGTCTAGACTCTCTGGTTTGAGGTTTGGAGTTCAGGGTGCCAAAGGCTAATGCCATTTCACATAAGCTGCGGGCTGAATTCACGTTGGAGGGGATGTGTAGGAGCTTATAAGGGGGCTAATAGGGGAACCTATGCCTATGCAGGACTATACTAGAACATTAGTCTAGGGGCCGGATGCTCCAAGACTCGGCATTCTTGTGTGCGTTGTGCCAGCCATCTGCATGCCATCGGCAGGCTCAGCGACAAAAAGCAAGAGCCGAGAGAATCCCGAAAACGATTCCATCATACGCCTTGTAGTTGTAGAGATGATTTGACGTTGCCTCAGCCCTACAAACTCGAATCTCTAAACTCCAGGCCCTACATAACCTCGTAGCCCACGGCGAAACTCTCTACTGGATGTGCCAGAGGTGTGGGGAGATTTCCGCGATGCCTTGGATATCTTGGCCGTGCGCTCGGATTGTTCACTTCATGTTGCTGGTTTTAGACACAGGTATGTAACAGAGTTATGAAAGATTTGGGCTCTTTGGTGATGTAGCTATAGGTTGCACCAGGATGGCATACTTTGGCAAAACATTGGCGCATTTCCCAAACTAAGTATGCCCCCAAATTGCAGGACTCTTACGACAGGGAACCCACAGAGAGGGACCCATGACTTTCAGAACCCCCCGCACTTCCTGAAGCAAGGCATCTAGCTCATAGCTTCACAAAAGGGATCAGGGTACAAGTGGTCAAGGTAATCTGGCTCCACTAAGGGTCCTTCCAAAAGAAGGGACCATTGGGAATACACTTGCTTAGAAGGGGAATCCTAGCCAAAAAGTGAACCAATCTCATGGCTTAGGGTTCTTGAGGGTCTAGGGTTTAGGGTTGCAAAATTTGGGGACATGTATCTTGGAACACTACCATGTGTGTTTCTCAAGATTGTGGGTTCTCATCAGCTCAACAAGAATTGACATGGGGGGGGCCCATGATTTTTGCTCATATAAGACAGTTTACAAGGGAGATGTTTGGCCCCTGCCTGCTCGCCAAGTTGTCATCCTTCTAAATCCTAAACCCTGAACCCCAGACCCTTAATCGTGTGGCTGTGGGATTGCAAGGATCAATGGGTTCAGCTGGGCCAGTATTGGGGTGAAGCCTACTCTCATAGTAGACTGGGATGCTACGAACATCCGTAATGGCCTACCGACGCTAGCCTCAAAATGATTCTGACTCATAGTAGAACCTTTTGAGGACCGACGATAGGATGCTACAAGAGTTAGTAATGGCCTACCTGCTCTGGGCTCCGTTTGATTCTGTGTATTGTGAGGAGCAGGAGTAGTTTGCCTTGCCAGAGGTACTTGGTACAGATTCAAAAAGGCGGTAGGCTTGTGCATTCCTTGGATGCGAGCACTTTTTGGAGCCTGTGCCTCCTCCGCAAGAAAAAATGAGAGTTGATAGACCCAGCCCTTCACTCAACTGAAGGTCAAGAGCGACACGCCATTCTCTGCTCCCAGAGTGTATGAGGTCCACTGCTTCTCACTTGGTTCGGATTTGGGGAGTAGGTCTGTTTGGAACAAGTGTCCACGGCACAGCAGAAATCTACGCTAGACTCCGCAGCCATGTTGTTGTCTCCCTGATAGTCGGAGTAATAGTGGTTATGACAATAACTCTCACCATCTGTGTTATTCTTGCTGCTACTATTGTTGTCAGTCTTGCCTATTGCTGTTATGATAAATGTTTTCTATGGATATAAATGGTTCCTTTATGATGCCCCGATGGCCCTAAACCTAAAATCCTAAATCCTTATTCCTAGACCCTCATCTTCACTCATTGAGATAGCATCATGTTTGATCCTAGCCTTCAAATACCCACCCGGGCTAGCCTTGGGTTCAGGGCTTGAGTTTTAAGGTTTAGGCTTTAGGGTTGAGGGTTTAGGGTTCTGAATATAGGCTTAGGGGGTTCAGTGCGGGGGAACTTCATTTGGCTTAATGTATCAGGGTTTCACCATGTCTTCGATGTCGCTCCTTGATTGGAGGCTTTTCGTTGCTTTGCTTACTGATTCTTAGAATAACGGGAAGACAACCACTATATAATTCCTATATAACATATGCCCTTATTCCCTACTAACCCCTGGTAAGTTAGGATTGGAGAGTTTAGGGCTTAGCATTGACCGTTAGCAGGCAGTAGCTGAGCCCCCAGTTGGGGTTTAGGGGTTCAACTTCTGCCCTCTAATGTGGGACTCCGGAGATTGAATTGGTCAACCCTGTGCTTTGATGCGGAGATCCCGCAAAGATTAATGAGCATAAAGCAAAAAACGCCATGATGGCCTCAAAGAGCCGTCCCAAAACCCCAAGCTCCAAACTCATGAATCTGACGTAGTGCCTGCATGGGGGGGTAAGTCCGTGTCACGTTCGCCGTCTCCAGGACCTGGGAAGCTGGGAGTCGATCCGACCGATCTTTGATGGCATCCTGGAACTCTACAACGGCCACTTGAGATATGGGGGTTTCCCACAATTAGGGGTACCTTTTTGGGAGTCCCCATAATAGGGACTATAGTATTTTGGGGTCTATATTGGGTTCCCGCTATTTAGGGAAACTACCATATGGGGGTTTAGGGTTTATAGGGTTTGAGGTTTAGGGTTAAAGGGTTTAGGGTTTAAGCGTTTAGGGTTTAGGGTCTAAACTCCTTAAAGGGGGTTCTATAGGGGATTATATCAGGGAGTATTATAGGTGCAATTAGGCGGGATAACAGGAGTGTAGACTATAGTACGCTCGCAAACCACGGGCTGTGAGTTTGGGGTTTAGGGTTCGGGGCCACTTGTAAACCAAAAGGGTTAAGGGTTTCGAGTTAGGGGGTTCAGGGTTCAGGGCCACTTGTAAACCAAGGGTGTAGGGTTGTGAGTTTGGGGTCTAGGGTTTGGGGCCACTTGTAAAGTGAGGGTTTAGGGTTCAGAGTCTAGGGTGCTGAGCAGAGAACGCGGAATGGAATGTAGGGCCTTTTCTTTCGCTGCTAACCGCCAGGGATTTAGCAGGCAAGGGTTCGGGTTGAGGCTTTTGCAATTGGGCTTGGAGCTCAGGCTGTTGGAGTTAAGTTCTGTGGCCAAGGTAAGGGAGCTTCAATCTCAAGATAGGGGTTTGGGGTTTGGCATTTAGGGGTTCCCTGAACTGTAAGGAGAGATGGGCTTGGGCACTAACCCCGCTGTCAGAATTTTTACGCAGTCCCATGTTGTTGCTTCTTTTGTAAAACGAAAACCAATAAACAAAAACGATAAAGCTTATAATTCCAGTAGTATCAGACGGTTCTGGTAGGCCAGCCCTGCAGAATGATAACCAATAGAAAAAATAATAAGGTTTTACATAGGATAGGAAGAGCGGCCATAGGGTTTTCACACGAGCCCAGATGGGGATTGTAAGGGGACTATGTAGGAGATTACAGGAGCCTTATGTAGGGATTCCATTGCTAAAGAATACTGTTGACATTAAGATCCTGCATGACGTCATTATACTGCAATACTGCAAGACCTCAGTATAAGGTAACCCAGACCCCTGATTCATACATCCCTTCCACCCCTTAGTAAAAATATGATAGGGATCCTAATTCTAAGGCCCTTCAAAGGAGGTGGTTTATTATTCATGGGTCTACTATAGGGGCCTGAACAATTACCAATATTAGGGCTGCATATTCCTTATGTTATTATGGTCTATGGCACCTCAAACGGACCTCAAAATGATATTGGCAATTATTTAGGCCCCTGTAGTACACTACGTGCGGCCTGGGTTCTGCAGGGTTTTCAGTATCGACTGTAGCTTGGGAAGTTTCCAACAATAGGGATTGGGGGGCTGGGGCCAAACGATTCAAAGTATGGGGGGTGGGGTGTATATTGGGTAATTTTGGGATCATAGGGGCTATATAGAGGTTATATAGGGGTAATGGAAAAATGGAAAGGGACTATAGGGGTTATAAAGTTTGACTGGTTGTGGTTGGGCGTTCACGCTTTACGGGTTTAGGGGGAGGGGTCCGGTGTTTTACGGTACGGTGTCTGAAAGCGCCCGAATCCTAAAAGGATCTGCTGACCCTATGACGCGTTACCTTTTCGGATCAATCCAGTGATGAGGTCCTTCTTGCCATCTAAGCTTCCCAAGAGGACACATCACCCTGCTTGGAGCGACAGGGGACTGAGTAAGTGGGTTAATAACCCCTTTGAGCCATATAATAACCTTACTTATCCCCATTATCATTAAATTATGAACTACTTACTAAGTCCCCCTGGCCCTAAACGCTGAACCCTAGACGCTACCTACTTATTAAGTCCCCCTGACCCTCCAAGTAAACCCCAGATCCAGTCATACGAGGAAGGCAGCCGAGAATTCTGCACTTTGCTGCGTAGGGTTTAGGGTTTAGGGTTTGCTGTTTTGCCCTGATCCCTCACAAATGTTCAGCTCTGTAACCACACCCAAACTCCCTTGTATACCCTGCGTTTTGAATCATCCTTAATAGCACTAGACCTGAACTTGAGCCCAGAAGGACAAAGCACTGAAACTCAACAAAACCTACATCCCAAACTCTAAGCCCTTCCAGGTGACAACAGCCCCATGAACCTGGTGCTGTTCAACGATGCCTTGGTCGGCCCAGCGTGTTTCATAGAAGCAGGGGGTCAGGGTTTACCCGAACCCGAAAAGTATGTATAGAAAAGGCAGATGCATTTTTGACGTTGTTAGCTGGTTTTGGGCCACGGCCCTATTTATTTTTGGATCCCAGTAGTGAGAACCGAAGAATGGCTGAACAACGTTCCATAACGTGTAGGGGCTTCAGGTTGAAAGTGCCAGCCAGCCTGCAGTACCTGACGTGTGAAGTCTACGCTGGTGCAAGATTTCCATGGTCATCTTGGCTTTACCAAAAAAGCCTGCATGGCATTAGTGTACAATGATAGCATGATTCCTATCAACAGTAAAAAAAAAGTCATGGCCCCAATTTTCAACATTGCAGAAGGTACGCTAGAAACCTGTGGAAATTCTTGTTTTGGCCCGGACGGATTAAAATATGGGGGGCATGTGCCCGTATATAGAGTTATATACGGTATAGAGTTTAGGATTATACCTAGAAATATCGACCATGTATCACCTTGCTATAGCTAGATTCGTGTCATCCTTCTGCCAGAAACCCTGCACCCCACCCCGGAATCTTCGCCTGGAACCAGCACTTGCCACATGAGCTGTAGTCTTAACTCCTTTAAGGGGGGTTATGTAGGAGAGTTTTTAGGGTTTAGGGGTTTAGGGTTTAGGGTCTAAACTCTTTTAAGGGGGTTATATAGAGGAGTATATAGGGGAGTACTTGGTATAGGGCTTATTATTAAGGGTGCCACTAGGAGTTTAGACTATAGCTCAGAAAGCGATTGCTGCATCAGCCGTGGGCCTTTGGTTTAGGTGTTTTGCAGCATCCAAAGCAGATTGACATTTTGTGAATGCTCGTACATCTGCACTTTGAGCCGCCATTGAAACAAAAGTACGCCAGGAGAACTTGGTATGTTCGGGTATATCAGGGGGATATTGGTATATCTATATATACATGTATATATATATACGACATGATGTATGCTATAGGGGTATATTAGCGCATGGATATATCTTTTCTCCAGGCAAGAGATTTTCTACGGCCATGGTGTGGGCTTGGCTGCCTGGTTGAGTTGGGCTACCCTTGCAGTGCACAAACATGTTTGCTTCTTCAGGCCCTGTCTCCAGCAGGCAGTCGCGGTCTGCTCCACCTTTGGGGGCTGGTATGAGCAGGGATGCCACCCTTGTGAAGATTACTTGGAAGACAGATGTCTTGAGTGGGTCAAAACCATTTGGCAGCCATTCTATTATTCAGATAAAGCTCTCAGATCGCAGCATCTGGCATACCCAGAAATATGTCCAAGGCGGAGTTGTTATTGTTGAGTTCACGGCTGGTAGAGCAAATGGCCAAACCTTCAGAGGTCCTCTTCGTGGACAGGACCTAAAAGAGCACGGATGGATATGGACTGCTCCAACCACTGTGAGGGATATTCTGGCATTTGTGAAGAGGTCTGAGCACATGGAAAAGTACAGCACGCAGGATTTCAACTGCCATACCTACGCACAGGACTTGTGGAATTTTTGCGTGATTTTCAGGCACCACGTCTGGTGGCGACCGGACATGGTCAAGGCAAAACTTCTCGGTGGTCTGGTACCTCATCGTGTCGGATACGATGACTGGGACGACCAAGACTGGGACGAGCAAGACTGGGACGACAATGGCTGGGACGACGATGACTGTGACAACGATGACTGGGACGGCGAAATATGACTGAGCCCTGCAAGGCAAGTGGTGTACCACCTTTCCATTTGATTGTGGGCATGCTGGTCTGGGCTTGGATCAAAACAGGACATGTTTCCAGCAGCTATGGTCTTGTCAGCTACAGTTCCAAGACGCAGTGCTGAGCAGGTGGTTTGTCGAGGTTTCCATTCCTTTAATGAATTGAAATCGCCAGCCACAAATCCAACATGGTTTCAAGTTGCTCTTAGAATTGGGGCGACAAATGGATTCGCAGGTGCCGCGCATCATCCTCATCTCAGTCTTGCCCAGAGAACCCAACACCCCTTAATTAAGGACTATACCCTAAATGGTACTAGGGTCCCTAATATGATGTAAGCTACATATTCATTAATTAAGGGGGATTGGGTTCCCTGGGTAGAGCAGGCTACTACTCTTAGCGCCTTCTTGCGGAGCGTAGCGAGTTTCCTTGTGGCCGTTCTGGCAGCTTACTAGTTTCTCAGAGACAGATGTATACATGCTCAACTGACAGAACCCCAAAATGACCCTATTTCTACCTTGGGGAACTTACGGGATTATGGGGAGGTTCCTTTTTGGATCCTTTGGGGGGGCCTGGGATGACCCTAAACCCTAAACCTTAAACAAAAAACATACTAAACCCTAAACTTTATGGGAAGCCAGGCTCACTTGGTCCGCCTGCACCGCATCATCCGGCTAACCCGTGGCATGGCCCTGCTGATCGGCGTGGGCGGCAGTGGCCCCTTGATGTTAAATGTTCCCAGGAGGGTTTAGTGTTTAGGGTTTAGGGTATACTATAATATATTGGGAATCTTCGATATTGATTTGCTGACTGCGGTCGGTTTAGTGTTTAGGGTTTAGGGTATACGATAATATATTGGGAATCTTTAATATTGATTTGCTGACTGCGGTCGGTTTAGTGTTTAGGGTTTAGGGTATACTATAATATATTGGAAATCTTTCGTATTGATTTGCTGACTGCGGTCGAGCACACAGTTTAAGACCACAGATGCATTTTTGTGGATTGCGGATAAGGAAATTCAGCTGAGTTACCAGAATCAGGGCATGTAGTAGATAATAGGGTTTCCTGATTATAGTACTTTAACTTAAGTTCTTTAGCAGCAACCCAGTCTTTGTGGATTATCATTTGTCGACATGGTCCAAAGCCGTAGCCCCTCGTCCCCTGCCCTTCACCACCACAAAATATGTCCTGACAGCAAGCCTACGAGGGGCACCCTGTCTACGTATCACCCAATAAAGGCTTGGGGGTAAGGGCTCAATAAATCTGAGCAAGCACGATGTGCGGCTTTCCTAAAATTCGGGGGTATTGTTTTGGTGGTCCCTCATGGGAATTCTCGCATTTGAGGGTCTACTAAGCCCCACACTAAACCCTAAACCCTAAACCCCTCATTTTGAAAACTACCATGTGGCTTGTCCCAGGAAAGCAGTCGCTGACCAGACTGGCAACGTTTGCAGCTTGGAGCTTAGTCTCTGGAGTGTACACCCGGCATTCCGTAGCAACAGTATGGCAGTTTCAATTTTCATCTGGGATGGCGTAGCTGTTGAAGTGCAAAGCTTGTCATAGACGTAATTGAAGAGCAATGGTGACAGCAAGCTGTTCTGCCTGCAGAACGCCGGAGACTGATCTTCTGCAATCAGCCGCAATTTTGCAGTAGTGTTCCATTCAGGACATTTTCGGGGAACGGTTCGACTCAGTACCATTGTAGAGAGCCTTCAACATGCTGTGGTCCTATCCAATCGTTCCGTCATGGCCGGGTGCCCTATAGCGACTCATACATCACCATTCAAGGTCATCGTTTTAGGGTCCGTTTCCGTCAAGAGAAGCAGCATGCATTCCGGTACAGATATTGGGTAGGTGCAGAAATCCCCTACCACATCGTAGAATCTTTTCTTTGGGGAGTTCCCGACGTGGGAACGGCTTTTGAGTGCGCGGGCTCCCTACAACCTAAGAGCTGGGCAAAATTGTAACGACTTCACCCCCAATTGTAGCATGAATAGACATAGACCGAAATGGGCTTCATCTCAGGCGCTGGAATGTCGGCCTAAGTACCCATCAGTAACGGCCCTACAGCCCAATCAAGGGTACGACGAGGGTCCTGGCACTGAAATCTAAACCTTAAAGCCTAAACCTAAATCCATGTATCATCCCAGTTTCCGTTTGACTTCCCATTTCTTTTTCGTTTGATTGTCCATGATTCCTATATAATATCCCTAAACCTTACACCTTACATAGTCCCTAGATATCCCAAGTAAGGGTACTAGGAGGGTCCTGGAGAAGGAGCCCCCTTGAGGCTGGCTATAAACTCTACGAGATCACGCTGTCTCGTGGCTACGGTGATGATCAGTTGCGAGAGGACTTGAAGGCAACTTGCTTAAGACCCTAAACCTTGAGCGCCAAACCCTACACTCCTAAAACCTAGTAGCTGCAAGTTCTTGAATCTCAGACCTAAACTGGGGTTTCCCAAATTAGGGATACTCTTGGGGAGGGGTCCCTATAACAAGGATTATAGTGTATTTGTTGTTGGGATCTATTCGGGGTTTCTAATTTACGGAAAATAGCAAATTTTCCCAAACTGTAAACCCTAGAAACCTTCAACGCCACAAATATTGTTTAGAGCATTAAGCACGATAAATCTCAAATCCTGTAAGCCCCAAGCCCGGCTTGCCCTGAACATTCATAGGCCTTGGTGCTAGGCTTTTACGTCTGCGTAATTTCGGTTCGCGTTGTTCAGCGAGTCATGTACATTACCTACTTGGAGTAGCATGTGTACGGTTCTCGCAGCATTCTAGGTCCTCCTTTGAATTCTATCGGGATGATGTTTGAGACTCCCATATCCTACTAAGCCCTAAACCCCTAAAACCTAAACCCCTAAATGCTGTGGTTCGAGATGACATTGTTCTGGGTCTCCTGGACCTTCATGAAAGTCTCTTAAAGTACTTTAAGTTGAGTTATTCGAGGTGGTGAGCTAGTTCCTAGGTAGGGAAAACTCAGGATATCAACAGGTGATATCCCATAGTGTCCCATAAGCAGGTACCATTCTAGCTAAGAGAAGTGTTTCGTAATGCTCTTGCTTAACCATGCTTTAACTAACCTCAACCCAAACCCCTAATATCATCGCAGTTTCCATGTTTTTTTTCTCGATTTCTCATGTGACTCTGAATCATGCGGGTGCCTTAACCCTGAACCCTGCATTTTGTAATATGCCTACCTAGGCTAGTTCTAGTTCTACATCCGAGGCCCAAAGCCTTTATTTTTTTCTTTCGAGGAGGGGTGGGGGGGTGGGGGCTGAGCATATAGGAGGGGTTACTGACGATGTAGGGTTTAGGTCTTAGGGTTGAGCGCACGGTGAGAAGTGAGAGCATCTCCCAAGTCTCCGAAGTTCGCATGAAAGCTCATGCAACCGGAAGCTCAGAGACTCCCAGCCGCCCATCAGCGGCCCTCTGACGTTCAATGTGGACACCTACGGAGGGCTGCCACTTGCCAGTGTGGGCCTCACTGTGCAAGCCTACCCGAATGTCGTGCAGCCGAAGCGAATCAAGCAAGTCATGGAGCAGTGGGACCTGCTGCCCGAGTCTCCCTGATAAAGGCCCTTAGTCTAAACTCCTTAAAGGCGGTTAGAGGTACGTAGAGGGTCTAGGGTTCAGGGGCTATAGTCTAAGCACCTTAAAGGGGGTTCTATAGGGGGATCACATAGGGGAGTGTTATAGAGGTTATGGAGGGGATGCTAGGAGTTTAGACTATAGCTCATATGAGCCCTGAAGCCCTTTTAGGGAGATCTTAGGAACCCTTAAGGGTACCTTTACGGTATATAATGGGTTCATAAGGATCCCAGAGATGATGGCACCGAACAGAGTGTATTCAAATGGTATCAAGATATTATGTTGAAGGTTACCTAGTGTCGAAATGCATTCAAAAATATTACAGCAACCCTATTCCCTTAAACCCTAAACCTTTCAACAGAGGATGACCTAGGTTCCTGTACATCCCAGCAGGGCCTTTTTCGATCTCCTTTGCGGCTTACTGGTTGTTAGTAGGGAATGAGGGTAAATAATCCCTCCCTATATATGGGGATAGAAACCCTATATTATGATATCGATATTATAAGGCAATATATTCCCTAGGTAATCCCTATGTAATAGATCTCCTTATTTCCCACGAACCACCAGTAAGTTTGGATGGCCTCACAGTTTTTGCACGAAGATAGCAGCATGTGTTTACTTTGACCCTAAAGCCCCAAAATTTTAAAGTGAAGCGCAGGCTCTCTACACGCAGACCATCAAGCAGCCTATTAGCTTCCTTTTCACAGACGCGGGGGCCTTGATAGATCTGGAGTCTCGCTTTCATGCTTTGGGCCCGGGCTATTTGGATTTCAGGCCCTAGGGCCTGGGGCTTGTACATTATAAGGTTTTCGTTCAGCGTTATGAGGGATGCTCACATTCATGGCTAGCAGAGGCTGTGCAGGCTAAACAGAAGTCTTACACAGCGTTGTTCTTGGAAAACTTATCAGGGCAGTAATGAGGAACAGGGCCACCGCAAAGTGCGGCATTCAAGCGTTCTCAGTTCGTTTCTGCGGAACCATACCAGCGAATCGATTTAAGTAAACATGAACATGCCCCAACATGCGGTCCGTCCACAGGGTGCATGTAATCGTGGCATAGACCCTTGATTATATAGTCCCCCTTATGTAGATCGAATATGTGTTATATGGGGATCTTACTCTGATATGGGGCAATTCCATATTGTATCTACTTAAGGTTGACCATTTAGTCAGCTTCGGATTACCGATATAACCCTAAACCATTAAACCCTGAACCCAAAACCGGTGTTTGATTCATGCGCCTGCCTTGCTGTCTAATAGCAGATCCTGCCACCCCTCCAGTTGCCTTAATTCGCAGTACACTAGGGATTAGGGAATAGGGTTAGGGTTTAGGGATTAGGGTTAGGGTTTAGGTTAGGGGAATGGTAAAAGAGCTATAAAGGAGTTTCTCAAAGTTAGGAGTACCATTTTGGGCAATACCCTATAGGGGTATATGAGGGATCTGTAGGGTTTAGGATTTCTCCATGGTGCTACCCAAGGCTTTGGATCTTGCCGGTTGGGCCACGAAAGTGGGGTCATGCCTTATCTTTCGGGTTTAGGCTTCAGGGTTTAGGGTTCAGATTTTAGGGTTCAGGGTTCAGGGCTTCGGCTTCAGGGTTTAGGGATTAGGGTTGCTATTCCTTCAACCACTTAGAGAAGCTGAAGCCTGAGGTAGGGCCCCGCTCACCATTTGCAGGAGAAGCCCTGAGATTTCCCATCCGCATCCAAAAAACACAAGAGTTACCTAGAGGTCCCAAGTCCCCGAATTTGGTCCTCTTTGGAGGGCTGTCGCTGGGCTTGCATTTCCCATGGACGTCCAGGTGAGTAATATTGTATTTGGGGATACTATGGTACTCAATATAGAGTAAGATTATACCCTCCTTTTGGGGTAGAGTATCCTTTATGGGGAATATAATCTTACTGGGTTTAACCAGGAAAGCTCCCCAGACGTGCATCTTAAACCCTAAGCCCTAAACCCTAAGCTCTCCCCCAAGACTTTTGCTCTACGGATGCCTCTGCAGGCCCATGTTGTTGAGGAGGGCTTCCTGGAGCAACTTCACCGCAAATGTTTCAGGGTTTAGGGTTTAGGGTTTAGGATGTAGGGTTTAGGGCTTAGGGTTTAGGGTTTAGGGCCCAGGATTTCAGCTTGAGGGTTTACGGTTCAGGATTTCGGGTTGAGGGTTCAGGGTTCAGGATTGAGAGGTTTGTGGATTTAGGGTTTGGGGTTCAGGATTTAGGATTTAGGGTTTAGGGATTGGGTATCAGGATTCAGGGTTCAGGATCCATTGTTTGGGTTTCCACAAACCCAAGAAAAGGGGCCAGAACTTGGGCAAGGCTTCAAATCACCCTCAGAGGGTCTGACTCCACAACAATTGCGCGTTTTTTTTTATTTTGTTTGGGTTTTGAGGAAAGACATGATTGCTCCATGGGAGCCCTTGTCATTCCCGCCTCTACTACCCGTCTTTCATTGTCCTAAATAACGTAAGTGGGGATAGCTTTGTGTGGGGTGGTAAGGGAAGCAGAACCCATGACCCTAAACCTTAAACCCCTAACGGCTAAACGCCTAAAATCTAAACCCTACATGACTATTGTGGCTATTGGATGCCTGACCCTTAGGCAGGGATCTGCAGAGATCCCAGCGCAAAGTATACACTCTCACACGTCGCCTTGGGGTTTCTCGAGTAATGTAAGAGGTCCTTTGTGGGCATTCAGGGGATATCGCGGGTTTCGACTAGAGATGATAGGCCGACTAGAGATGATAGGCATCATTTTGAGACGCTCCCATTTCAGCAGGAGGTATAAGCAATCTCATCTTGCATAGCCTCCTCGAGCAACCAGCTTCTTTGCCTGGATGTGTTGGATTGGCCGTCCTTACCCGATTCCCACAACGAAAACTGATTAAGACCCTCTGTCCTGTGCTCCCCTTTCACAACATCTTTCGAGCGCGTTTCTGCTACAACCCCATGAGCCAGGTAAAGTCCCCCTTAAGTAGATAGAATCATGTACAGACTTTAGGGCCCAATGTCTTGGATCTCCAGGGTTAGGGTTTACAGCAGTCTTATTGGGAACTCTATCCCCTTCAGGGCAGGCGACGTAAAGCTGGCAGACCTATTTTGCGCCAGAGTTCCAAGAACTCTACACCCAAAATTCCTAAATTCTCAACCTATGTACGGTTCTTCCAAGGTACATCAACAACATCTTGACAGTTGGCATGGTACCAGCGCTCTTCGGTGATGACGCGGCCCGTCTCATGGGGGATAACTGCAGCCTAACCTTACTTCGCGACAGCCTTTTGTGCCAAGGGTTTCTGGTCTTGCATATCTCAATCTCATCAACCAGACTTATAACGCACTAACACACCACTAGTATACAGGAGTACAACCTCAGACTTGAATGCTGGAAACAAAGAATGTTGAGGCCTAGTATATGAAAGCTGTGGGACGAGTGTAACTTCCTGTGACAGCTTGCCCTGCGCGCGCAAGCCCGCGTGTCATTCGCAGCAGGAAGGGCATCATGAACTTACCACCTTCATTGATTCATTTTCCGGTGGTCACAGTCATTAACATGACGACGCCTGATCTTCAAACGAAGGGTTTCAGGGCAACATCGTAGGATGTGTTTCCATGTAGACATGGCATCCGTGGCGACCTTTCAAGTGAATGATGCATGCACTGGCAAAGAAGAATGCATCTACTACAGGGGCCTAAGTACACAATAACTAAGGACATGGATTTTGGGCAATAGGAATTATAGTACAGGTTTTGGGCATGTATATGATTGTTAGGTACTTGGACCCTTAGGGTACTACAGGGGCCTAAATGATTGCCGGCTTAATGGTCTACGTTGCTTGTACAGTCATGGTATTGGGTGCTTCAAATAGACTGCAACATAGTAACATTTGGAATTCTTCCACGCCCTTGTAGGACTAGCTCAGTGTGGTTTTTGTTTGCCTGTAGCTTGACATGAGCTGTAATGTAGACTCATGATTGATAAACCCCCTCCTTTTAAGGGCCCCAATATTAGGATCCCTATTATAGTCCCTATTAGGGGGATGGGGTTTATGAATCAGGGTTCTATATTAATCTAAAGTCCTTTGAGAGGGCTGAATAGGGGACTAAAAGGGGAATATTTTCGGGGTTATTCTGGGGGATACTAGGAGGTTAGACGCTAACCCGAGACCCTGAACCCTGAATCCTATACGGGGGGTCATTTAGGGGATATTAGAAGTGTAGACGATGGCTCACATTGTAGCTCTGGATGTGCCGCTTCCCAGCTTGGCCACTGAGGAGAAAGAGCCGTTGGTTGGCGCCATTCGAGCCAGGCGCGGCGCAAGTTCCTCATGTGGTGATTTCTACAGATCTTGGATCCCAATTTAGACCCCAATATGTAGTAAGCCTTCTTCTAGGGAACCCCAAAAAAGGGGCCCTCTTTGTTGGAAACTCCCATGCTTTTCTGTGCCAAAGGCAAGCGCGACAGGGTTTACTGACATCAATAATGGTGGAAAAGGAAGGCTCGTAAAGACCATAGTCAGACTGCCATGTTTTCCTGAATCTGCACTATTTGTGTTTTTGTCCTCAAGTTTATTAGGTCGGTTGACGGGTCAGGGTTTAGGTTTAGTGCATCTTTCTTGAAGCTTGATGGATCTAACTTGACAAAACAAGACTTGAGAGGCCACTCTATCTTTTTTGACCATTATCCTATGAGGATTCCGGAGTCTACCTCATAGGGCTTCCTCTTTGAGGGGTCACCGTCAAATGAAAAGGTTTGTAGTAGATATGAGGGACAAAGCTGAACATCCAACCCCCTTCACAGTAAGATGTTAACCGTACGTGCCATCCCTAGACCTTTCAGCTTTGTAGTTTCAACCCACCCAGGGCAAGTATAATTCTGTGATCTGTAGGCAAAGTAGGGTTACAGGTGCTGTGGCAGACTCTCAAAATCCTATACCCTGACCCCTAGACCCTAAACCCTAAACCCCAAACCCCAAACCCTAAATCCTAAACACTAAACCCCAAACCCTAAATCTTAAACCCTCTAAGGCCTATCCTTTGGGTAACCTGCCCCGCAGGGCGCGCGGTGAAGGTGTGGCAGAGGCCGGCATGTGGGCCTACGCCTGCGGAGTCCGGGCCCCGAACTTGTACATTGATTAGGGTTTAGGGTTAAGCTTTTAGGCTTGAGAGTTTAGGGTTTAGAAGGTTTAGGGGGTTTAAGGTTCAGGGTTTGGGGATTATGTGGTTTAGGTTTCTAGGGTTTAGGTTCTGAGCGGGGGTGAGTTTTTAATTTTAGAGCACAGGGTTTTTGGATTCTGGGCTTGTAGAGCTATGTGGAATCCGATGGTTCTCCGAAATATTTAAGACATCCTCATTGGTGCGTGCTTATTCCAGGGCTTAGCAGAGCGAAGGAATTCTCGAACTTTGAGTTTAGGAACGGGTTTTATGATGAGCACACATGTAAAGCGACCTTCTGCTACAAGAAAGGTACGGCAACTAAGCTACTGCATGGGTACCACATACCTTCGTCAATGTCTAAGGAGGGAGTACGTAATGTTTGGAATCCAATGATTTTAGAGTCGGGCGTGCTGGTCGCGGATGCTGGAGCCTTTCAGTCAGCATCACGAACTCTACGTGTATCCTTTGCAGAAGTGAAATTTCATAAAGTCTAGGCTCTTCGCAACTGGTGCGACGTGATGACGAAGCCTTTCATTGCGGCTACGCGAGCTAGAAACCCGGTGAAATCACTTCTGCCCCTCTTATAGGGATCCTTCGTACCGTAGGGGAGGTGAACAAATGCTCGCATAAACGTATCTTTGCCCTGAAGTTCTAAGCGGTTTAGGCTTCAGGGTTCAGGCCTGGGGACGGTTCGTCGCATTGCTATTTCTGCAACTTTAACCGTGCCAACCCTCTTCCCCCGTAGACTTCTCCACCAGCTCAAGGCTTTAAGTCCTCAGTCTGGAACAATGAAAGTGTTACAACTTGTATTCCAGCGTGATAATTCTGATCGACAAAACTATCCGCCAGGCGATGTAGATGCAAGAAAGCCGCCAACATTAATCCCTTCTGACCTCTGAGACATCGCAAAACAAGAGAGGGCCAGAAAAAAGAGATGAGCTATAGTCTAAGCCCCTTAAATGGGGCTATATAAGGGATTATATAGGTGGCTACTATAGGATTTATTAAAGGGATACTCGGAGTGTAGACATGGGCTCACATGCTAGACCCCGAAGCATTTTTGTGGATTATTGTTGGATGTGAAAAATCATGTGCTAGAAGTTCAGGAAATATCATAAAGCTATGCTTTAAATCTGCAATAAATACCAAGTTTTCAGGTCATCCGCGACAACTTGCACCTTGTTTTGGCGATGTCACCGGCAGGTTCACAGCTGCGCATCCTGTCTGCAGACTCACCCTAAACCTTCAACCCTAAACCTTCAACCCTAAATCCTAAACCTTCAACCCTAAACCTCCAACCCTAAACCTTCAACCCTAAATCCTGAACCTTAAACCCCAAACCTTCAACCTTGAACCCCAAACCTTCAACCCTAAGCCTTCAACCCTAAACCTTCAACCCTAAATCCTGAACCTTAAACCCCAAACCTTAAACCTTGAACCCCAAACCTTCAACTCTAAGCCTTCAAACCTAAATCTTCAACCCTAAGCCCTAAACACGGGGGATGGGAGAAACAGGGTTGCAGACTGCAACCGCCGGAGCCTATTGGATTGATTTCCTCCTCAGACTATTACTCCCACCCTCCAATACTAACCAGTCCCCATATATTATGGTGTACCACAAGGGGAATGTGCAACATTACAAGGGAATCCAGTTAGCGGTTGGGGATTACTTAGAATCCTTGGAGGTTCATGGAACTTAGTAACTATTTATAACTGGGGTTATAGCCGTACTTACAGTTGGGGTAGCCCCTATAAGGTCATTTAGGGTAGTAGTTATAAGTAGGGTTATAAGCCCAGTTATAAGTAGTTACTATTTCCCATGAACCTCCAAGTAGGCCTTCGGGTGCTGTAAGGATTATACAGGGATGTTCTGATGTTCACTGAGGTTTCTACGTCAAGGCAGTTTCGAAGGGTTTTGGGGCGTGAGGACTAAGACGCTCGTGAGACTCTTCGGCTGTCGGGCTTAGCGTGAATTAGGGTTTAGGGTTTTGTTTTTGAGCCAGTTTGATTTGCTGATTACTTGGAGGTCCCAGGGTATTCAGTAACGACTGAGAAGTACGCATGTAATCCAGTTATAGGCCAGGAAACTGCACGTGGGAGGGCCCATTCCACTCAGTCACTGAATACCATCGACCCCGCAGTAGGTGAGCTACATCAGTCTAGGGTGCAGCTAGGCTCATCAGGTTCGTGCGCTCAAGGTCGTCAGCACGTTAAACTAAAATGGTAGTTTCCCAAAATTAGGATACCCCAATGTAGACCCCAGAATGCTATAGTCCTTAATATGGGGACCGCAAAAAAGGTCCCCCTCATTTTGAGAATCCCTGAAAAAACCTATAATAGAACCCCTAAATACCCCCCATATACTGGGAAACTCGCAGATCTGCACGATGTCGTTTCAGGAACTCGTTGCCGGAACTTCCCTGGCATGGTAGCAGGCTGCACCATTGCGGCTCGGCAATGACACAGGGCTTAGGGTTTAGGGTTTAGGGGGGCTTAGGGTTTAGGGTTTTTAGGGTAGAGGGCTTAGGGTTTAGGGTTTTTAGGGTAGAGGGTTTAGGGTTTAGGGGATTTGTGTTTATGTATTCGTATCAAAGGCTTGAAGCGGGAGCATGGGTCTCTGACAATTGGGGTGTTCCTTTTTTCAGCTGAGGGGTTTTGGATCAAGCGTCGTTTTTTGTAAGGGGGGGCAGGGTTTGTGCTGTCGGGATTGAGGTAAAAGTAGACGCCTTGGGGAGTTGGGGAACGGATCAATGTTGAGTGATGTTTTGCCCGTTCATGTTGGGTCTGCATCACATCCCCGGACGGAGGTCAGGGTTTAGCCTGTGGAACGACTTAGCATGTCCATATTAGATATATCCAGTGGAACAAGGTGCACGCGGGCATCCGTTCCACACCCTGATCTACACAGTATGCATCAGCAAGCGGCTTCTCATTTCATACCCCCTCGTTTCATACGCCCTTGTTCCATACACCCAAAAGCGGGGACATACGTTGTTCCATGGGGTACGACCAAAAAGCTTCTAGTGTCTGCGTGCGTAGGACACATTTTTTGTTGGGGTTCATCACATCATTCCCTGCCTTTATTTCCAAAGTAGAGGCGGGATCCAACATCCCCATCTCGTGTTGTAGAGCTTCTTGCGTCAATCCTGGAGCCCTAAACCCCAAACCCTAAACCTCCTCCGCTCCAGGAATCTGGAGGCTTCATAAGCCCCAAGGGTCCAAGGCCCCAAATAAAAGGGTTCTAGGGCCCAACTACCACTAATATCATAGTATTTGGGCCCTAAAACCCTATAATTTGGGTACTTGGACCCTCTGGGAAGTATAAAGGCAACGAACATTCCTTCAATGAGGGCTCTCGAATCATAGAGCAACACGACGCCGAAAAGCCCGGGTCAGATTGTAAACCACGCATATGTTCAAGCGATTTCCTTTCAGCACATCAGGAATCTCTGCCCCACCACTTTTTTCAAGCTATGCTGCTTGAATACATGAAGTCCTTCAACACTCAAGTCTTGGGGTTGCACTCTTAACATCTAGGACAGGCATCGGGATTTCCTTATGTTAGGTCAGGGTGGTTGCCTCCCTCATAGAAGTTTCATCCTCCAACGACCGGCTCAGAACATGTTGTGATTGCGGCAGAACACCCGGCAGCTCTTTGCCTAGTTCCTCAACACTTACCCACAATTACTGGAAGACCGTAGACCCAAGCTTCATTTACAAGTTCATGTTTTTTGAAGACTGTACTTGTATCTTCGGCCGAGTTATACCCACAGGTACGGGTACATAGGTTATACTTGGGTTACAGCAAGTTGGGATATTGAAACATGGATATAGTTGATGGCTATCTACCATTGACCTCAAAATGCGAAATGGTTGCCCAGGACTGGTTCTTCTCATGGCCTCAGCAGGTGCCAGGGGGTGGTGTGATTCCGTTGTTTTTCCAAATCTCTTGTTTCTTATCTTAGGAATCCCAAACTTCTTTCAAGAACATAGGATCCCCTTATACACCCCCAAATATGATGATCCTTATACGAATTCCCCGAAAGTTGTTTGGCTTATATTTTTCTGTTTCAGAGCTTCGCTTCGTGGGGGGTGCTTATGATAAGGACTATAGTATGCCCCAATCTATATCGGGGACACCCTACACTCAAAACCCCTAAACCCTAAACCCATCATTGAAAGACCCCCCCCCCCACCCCTAACCCTAAACCCTAAACCTTGCGTGTTTTGGAGTAGGCGCACGCTGGTCGAGCGCTCAGCAAGACCCAGCGAGGGAGGTTAACGCCGTCATGATTTGGACCAAGACTGCAAACTTCAGATTCCTCAGCACAGATCCCCATAGGGTTTAGGGGTTTAGGGCTTAGGGTTTAGGGTTTATCATCCCATTGTAATGCCCACGTTTTGCGAAGTCCCAATTGAATCTGCCAAGCTCACCCTGAAAAATCATCCTTCACTTTGCGAGCCCCACCAAATACTAAACCTCCACCCTACACAGCCATTGGAACCCTGTTAACTGGGCAATTTAAAGCGACCTCACCCGACCTCACCCTAAATGGTGGCTTACATAGGGGATAGTACCGCAATGGCCTTAAATTGGGATTGAAATTGTTCCAAATTGCCCTGTCCCAAGGGACCTTAGGCGCCTTCGGTACTTGAATGTTCATGGAACTTAGGAACTAACATCTGGGCTTAGAACCCTACTTAGAATCCGTTAACTCGGCCTGGGTAGGTTGCCCCAAGCATAAAAGTAGGGTTATAAGCCCAGTCATATGAGCCATAGCCATAGTCTAAACTCCTTAAACGGGGTTATATAGGGGCTCATATAGGGGACGATTTTAGGGATGATTAAGCGGGAAGCTAGGAGTTTAAATCATGGCTCCTCTGTAGTTACTAAGCACGTAGTTACTAAGCCTCCATGAACCTGCAAGTAAACTCTAAACCCTGAGCCCTGAACCCTAAGCCCTAAGCCATGCCCTAAACCCTAAACCCCAAATTTAAATCCTGAACCCTAAACTCTAAACCCCCAAATCCTAAACCCTACGCCTTAAACTCCAAATAATCCCCCGAAAGCCTTCAAGTAGCCAGGCACTGCTTGCAGTGGCCGAGCACTTCTTGGCTTCCGTCACGGGCATTGATGATTTCAGGATGTGCAGGGATGAGGTGTAGCGGTTTAGCGTTTGGGGTGTAGGGGTTGAGGGTTAGGGGCAAAGGGCTTAGGTCTCAGGGCGTAGGGATTTAGGGTTTGGGGGTAAGGTTTATGGTAGAGAAATTCAAATGGAAAATGAAGTGGGTGCTGGTGTGTTTTAGGAGTATTTTGAGGTAGAGTTATTATGATGCTTCTTGGTGAATGCATACAGGGTTCTCAGGAAGATTGGTGAGTTTAGATGTCTTTAATTTGGGGGACCACAACTTCTAGCATATGTTATAAAACTGATCTAAGCTGATCTCGCGGATATGGTGATGAGCACTTAAGCCATGGGGTTTTCAGGATTTGGAGTTTAAGCTCAGTCTAGGGTTGTTGGGTTTGGGGCTTAAGGATCGGGATTTTATGATTGCAGGGCGTGCTAACAAAAATGAGTTCACATCGCTCTGATAACAGAACTTGGGAACTTGCTTACGTCCCTACTGATGGATATTCCCAAGTAGTACCATCACCTTTTGGTAGGAAGAAGCTGTCCCTAATATATTTCCATAATACAATGGGGAGAATTCTGATCTTATTTACAGGGGGCATTCTGGTACAGAGATTATGGTGCAGGGGCATCGGACAGAGTTGGGAGAAGAAGGAGGAGGAAGCGAGTTATGTTTTCATTAGCAGCAGGCTTACTAGCTTTGGAGGGTGGGTGCAGGGTTTAGGGCAGATGCCCCTGCTGTTTGGAAATCGGCTGAGCTGCTGCAACATAAACCCTAAATCCTAAACCCTAAACCGTTTCTTTCAGCATCCTGTTCATCGGGAGCCTTTCTGCGGCCCTAAGCTTGAAACCCACGCAACCGGAGTTGACGTAACTAGTTTGGAGATCGTACGCCTCAAGCCCTATAAACCCTAAACCTCGTTGAAGGCTGTCATGATGCCTTTGCCAGAAGTACACACTTGGCACGGGCTGGATAGGTAGCCAGTTGAAGAAACTCCCCTGGCACACGGGGAATTCCAACAGGCTCGGGGCTATATAGCATGTTCCCACAACTGCCAGCCTTACACAGCTTTTAAGTTCAGCTTTTGCCCGGGATAGCAGGAGTTCCATCACTGATTGCATGAGCTACGTCCACCTGTCCGTCACGCAGGAGAGACTGTTCAGGGCTGTGGCACGCGATTTCCTTAGAGTTGGCTAAACGCTTCTTGCTGGCGCTTAAGGAAGTGGAGGATAGAAAGAGGTATTCTGGGTTGTCCTTTAGGATCATTTTACAATTCCCCTCTTATTTTGTAGAGAACCATAACAGTAAATAATTTTCAAAGGGCTTAAGGGACAACTCAGGTTTTATCATGGGGGGGGGGGGGTAGGGCGGTACATTCGATTTATTTATATGGCTTCTCTCCGCCAATTCCCGGTTTAGGGTTTAAGGGTTTAGGATTTAGGGGTTTAGGGTTTAGGGTTTAAGGGTGTAGGGTTTAGGGTTCAGGATTTGGGGTTTAGGGTTTAGGGACCTCAAATGGTGGTCTTTACAGGGAATAGTACCAAAACGGCTTTCAATTGGGAATTGAAACTATTCTAAATTGCCCTTTGCATGGTGAGCGCTTGTAGTGAGATTGGAGGTTTAGGGTTCGGGTTTAGGGTGGAGGGATCAGGGATTAGGGTTCAGGGTTTAGTGTTTAGGGGGTACTTTTTCCACGAATAGGGGGAATCCAACATACACCCCGTGCTATAGCAGAAGAGGCCCCCAAAAAGAGATCCAGAATATGGGGAAACCCTAATCCCCGCACATTGCTATATAATCCCAGTTTTCACTTAATTTTCCATGTTCTTTTCCATTCTCGCGTTAGATGTCAGGTCCAGATGCATTAGATGACCCCTGCCATAGACTGTTCTTGGGTGGGGGCTGGATCATCCAGGATAGCCTGAACCCTTTTTGCGGTCATGAATCCCTAAACCATAAACCTTAAACCCTTAAACATTTCATGGCAAAAGTCTTTGACCCATGGTTGGCGTCTGAGGGGACTGGTTCTGCGTAATGAAAGAAAACGTTCTACTCGACTTAGCAAGTAAACCCTAAGCCATTGGTAATCATGGCGCCTGCAACCTGCACAGGAGTACTCACCGCAGTTCGAGGTGAAATACAAGCAGCCTGGCTATGTCTCAAGTTGAGAGTTTAGTCTGGCAGAATTCTGTCACGGAATTCTTCGGAAATGGAGGCATATGACGCGAAGGCATGCCAAGGGTCATGCAAGCAAGCTGGCTGCGTTCCCCCAATTCATTTCCATGCTGAGGTCGCTTCTGAGGTTGCAGGTCACATGTCTGCTTACAAACCTTCTACTTTCTTATCATTATTACTATTACTGTCCTTACCAGTACTGTTGCTGTTACTACTGCTATTATCCTTATTATTCCCCTTTTTGTCATTCCCTCAGAGTCATATGAGCTCCAGTCTAAACTCCTTAAAGGGTGTAATATGGGGGAAAATATAGGGAAGCATTATAAGGCTTATTGAGGGGGATACTCGGAGTCTCGACTATGGCCCATCTGTGAATCAGCTGCGGTAATTGTTGCGTTTGTTTTGTTTGTACGTGAGCCTTCTAGCTTTGACATCTTAAAATCTCCCTGACAGTCTTGGTTTCTGTGGCTTTCAGTGCCATCGTTTTGTAAGCCCTAACCGTTATGGTCGCAGCTGGCGGTGTTTAGCTATAAGTTAGTGTAGGCTTCCACCAACTCTGAACCTTGGAAGCCCCAGGATCCCCTGGTGAAAGGAGGTCTTTAGGATTCAGGGTTTAGGGGCTTAGAGATTTAGGGGTTTAGGGTTTTAGGGTTTAGGGTTCAGGGCTTGTTACCACACATCTAAACCCTGTACTTACCGCTTGGTCCCCGAGATTGAACTTTCAAAGCTCTTGCTGGCTGCTACAGGCTCCAAATGTAGCTGCCTGAATAATTTGAATGACAAGCCCAGCAATGTAGAATAGCACGCCCCTCCCCCCGAATCCCTATTCCCAGTATCTAGGTCCCTGCCCTGTGCTGATTCCAACCTGAAACTTGTTCTAACACTATCCCTAAACCCTAAACCCTGAACACTAAACCCTACACCCTAAACCCTTAAACCCTAAACCCTGAAGCCTAAAACGCCTGCCGCAGTTAAGGCGCCGAAACTTTGCCACTCCGAAGAATTACTTGGACTTCCTGGCAAACTACATGCGCCTCAGCTTCGGGTTTAGGGTTTAAGGTTTGCCTCAGCTTTAGCTTTGGGGCGTTGCTTGCTGGATGTTAGTATGGAATGAATACTTGGCAATTTAAAGCGACCTCAAACAACCTAACCCTAAGTGGTGGTTTACATAGGGAATAATACCAAAAAATATCCTGAATGAAGGACCTAAACCCAAACCCTAAACCACATGATTTTGTTTTACGTAGAGACTACAGGATGGATCCGGTCCACCATTCTCTAGTAAAACCCAGTAGGGTTGAGGGGAGCCGGGTCTTGGGATTAGGGTTTAGGGCTTAGGGTTTAGGGCTAAGGCCTTAGGGTTTAGGGTTTCAGGGTCTAGGGATTAGAGTGTAGGGTTTGCAGTCTGGGGACTACAGTGGATGGAGGAAATCTGGCATTTCGCAGGACCTCCCAATGTGCTGTAATTATCTGGGGTCTAGATATGGGGCCCGAGACTTGGGGCTTGGCACTGTTACGGGAATAGGCTGCGTGACACAGGGCATAATTACCAAGCAAGGCGTCTGATGTAGGTTTAGGCCTAGGGGCCGATACGGTTCGATACTGGCCTTGTGGGTGCGGGGACGTCCAGAGTTCAGAATTTGGGGCTGTGTGTTTGGGAGATAAGATTTTTTCGGCTTATAGCAGCTTATGGAGTTTCATGTTGGATTGCTTTGTTCCCTGACATCTACTTTCAACAGAAATCCGTTTTTGGATGCATACCCCAGTGTTACTCTAACACATGGACGAGAAATGAGCTCGTATGAAGCCGTCAGAATTGTGCTCGGAGCAAACCCAGGTGTAGGGCTTAGGGGGTGAGGTTTTGCAGTGGCGATACAAAGTCTTGACAGGAAAGCAACGGCTAGATGAGGCTTTTATGCCTAAACTGTAAGGCCTGAAGGGAGCTCTAATTTTCGGGGAGGGTTCAGGAAAGCAAACAACGCCGAATGTTGAGGCATGTTTGTTTGGAATCTGGCAAAACAAACTACCGGGAACGTGCTTGTGGACCCCCATATATGTATATGCATATATCGATACATATACATACATATACACACACCTGCCTATTCTTTTTTTGGTTTACTTTTAGATGCTATACATAAACCTCTCCTGCTCTGGCATATGAGCAAGCATTCCACCTAAACTAAACCCTAAACCCTAGATCCTAAACCCTAAATCCTAAACCCCATAAACCCTATGCCGGCAAGGAAGTTCCTGGACTTGAATCGCAACAACCTGGATCAGATGTCAGGCGAATTGTATGGGTTTTAGGGTTTAGGGTTTAGGGTTTGGGGTTCAGGGTTTAGGGTTGTATGGGTCATTCCCAAAATTAGGGGTACCTTTTTCGGGGTCCCCATAATAAGGACTAGAGTATTTTGGGGTCTATATTAGGGCCCCCCAATTTTGGGAAACTACCACGTAGGGGTTGGGTCATTCGAAGATTAACTGTCCTTACAGGGTTCTTTCTGAGGGACTAGTATAACTCTTGTTACCCGTTGTGATAATAATTGTCACTGTAGAGGGGAATTGCAACATGTAGGGGGCTTATGGAGCTGAGATTTTGCAACTTCTTTTGTTGTTTAAGCCGTACATGTAGAGTCTGGGTTACGGAGGTAGGGAAAACCTCAAGTGATAGCCAGGTAGTAGCCCAAATCGTTATTTGTAGAGAGAGCACCATAAACCGTAAACCCTAAACCTCTAACCCGGGAGTTGAGTTCGACTTCGCTGTTTATGGCTTTCCTGGTTTGCCGGACTTACCTGATCTAAATTCACATGGAATCCTGGAGCCTAAGAAATACAGTTCTTCGAGATCAGGATAAGCATAGAAGGAATAATAACAGAGATCTTGACCAATTCTGTGTGTGGATATATGCTTTATGTAAATATGAATATAAATATAGATATGAACATATGTATTCATACGTACACGGACCATAGTTTGCTTGGGGATTGTCGCAAAATTGCAGAAATAGGTGATGCATCGTAACCTTCTACAGTCCAGCAACCGTAAACCTGGGACCCTGAGTTGGTAAGATATCTGACTGTAGGGTTTCGGGTTTAGGGTACGACCCTAAACTCGTAGTTGGTGGCATATCTGATCCAACTTCTGTACCTACTTCGCTGCATTTCCTTGAGAAGTCCCTAAACCCTAAGCCCTAAACCCTACCCCCCAAACCCTAAGCCCTAAAGCCTACACCCTACCAAACCCCAACACCAGGTCCTGAGTTGCAGCGTCTACTGAAAGAACTCTAAACGCTTGAGCTTGAATGCTACCCCCCCCCCAAAGCCCTATAACAACCCCGTGTGCTAGCAAATTGCATAAACGGGGGAATAGCTAGAATTACTTGGGGTGGGGGGTGATGATTCTTAACCCTAAACCCCAGATGATATGGTAATTTCCATTTTCTTGGCCATATTCCTATTTGCCCCGATATATTCCTATATAAGCACAAAGCAAAGACACTGGGCTCCAGACCGCCCTAAACCCCAAACCCGAGACTTCAAAACTCTAAACCCGAAAGCCTAAAGTTTGAACCCCTAAACGTTTCAACCCTAAACCCTAAACCCTGAACCCTGCATCCTAAATGGGCGCTTGTGTCAGGCCGCTTGGGCGGCGGTCTTGACAAACTGGTTCAAGCAGCGGTTCAGGCACGTCTGTGGGTTTGGGCTTGAAGGGGTTTGGGGTCTTAAAAGGTTTTAGGGTTTGAGGGTTTAGGCTGGGTTGCCTTTAGGGCCACGTGGGGCAAAGGCTCAATCACTAACGAAGCAAGGCAGTCTTTTTGAAACCCCACCTAGACCCTCATACCCTATCCTTCTGTTAGGCTACTTGATTTGATATATATAGAAGCTAGGATAAAAGCTACTAGCTCCAAAGCCCTAAACCCAAACTCCAAGCCCTAAACCCTAGCCATTAAGTTAGGTGCCCTTTACGGTCTAGGTCACCCAGTCGGATAAAGCCTGTTGTCTGCATGGTCCCCTTGCTAAGCAAGATCAGTGTCAGGGTTAATACTACTAATAGTTAAGTAACAACAGTAAAAATGGTAATAGTGGTTTAGTAATAGCAGTAATAATGGTAATAATAGGACATGGTAAGAAAGCAATAATAGTAATATTGGTAATATTCGTAACATCATCAAAGTTACGTGGGGGCTAAGGTAGGTTCGAGTAGGGTTCAGGGCTAGGGGCCGAGGTTTGAGGCTTGTGAGGCTTGGGGCACGCACGGTAGGTACATATTCTACGGAACGTTTCGGTTTAGAGGTTAGGGTGATTTCCTGGCGTTCCCGTTCCGATCATGACAGCAAGATTTGCTCGGCAGGCTTTGGTATGTTCAGCTTCCGGAGTGACCGCTACAGGAGCGAGCTATTCCTACTATTACTACTACAGCACGGTCATCAGTTTTCGCTACATTACAATTACGGATACTACTTATCACTACATTACAATTACCCATGATACCTGCCGCAAGAGTACCGCTTGCTATCTCTCGCGGGTATCTAGGCCAAGGCTTCAGGCACTTTTTCTGCAGATGGTCAGACAGCCCAGCTTGTTGGAAACGGTGCAAATGTTTTTTTTTGAAAGCAAGCCCAATCCTACACAGCAACCCTGGTTAATCCCCGAATCAGCTGTCCATCTCCCCTAGGTACCCCTGTTCTGAGCCCTAAACCAACCTAAACCCTAGTATTCGGGGTGTGCCACCTTGAGCGCAGGTGACAGAAATGTCGAAGGACCAGATGGGCAAGCTTTGCACAGCCTGGATGCACTCGCTCAGTTGATGTACCGGGTCCACTGAGGCTTCTGACACCGTAATCTCTTCTTTCCTGGGCTCTTGTAGAACAAAACTTTACATTTTCATGGATACCTGGGCCCAATATCAATAGCAAAAGATCTTTTTTCATTGTATTTCAACAAGAACCCAGTTTCCTTGAAGCCTAGACTCAAACTCTAACTGCTTTTCGCAGATCTAGCCTACAGCTGGAAAATTCAAAGCTCTAAGAACATGCATGCATCCACGCAGAGGCCAAGACCGAGAGAGGGCTAGTAGCATTCTCAATTTAATGGTTGTTCAGGGAGTGTCAGGACAGAATATCGGCTGAGGGTTAAGGATTTAGGGTTGGGGTACTATAGGCGTTATATGAGGATGAGCACCCGGAAGTCCAAGAATCTGCATTACGAGCGAAGTGCCAGCAGCAGGTAGGACGGTGTTACGGTGGATACTTAAAGCACTGCATGACCCCAAGTACCTTAAACCCTGGGAATTATGGGGTTGTGGTGTACCCAGGTCATGCAGCATTTTTTGCATCAACAGTAGCACAAGCTACGGGTAAAACAGGACGTTGACAGCGTACTTGTACGAAGTTGGTTTCAAGGTCGTTGAGCTCACACCCGAACTACAAACAATGAAGCGCATATCTTGTTTTGCGCTTTCGAGCTTGTTTAGGCATTTCTGATGCTTCAGCTCACCCTCAGGGTACAGATTACCCCTGCCCCGTAACATTGAGACCCCCAGTCCACATGTATTCGATGTTCCCAATATATTCTGATTTTCCATCATGGGAATGTTACGTTGGATAGCCTTTGACTTGGGGTAAATTAAACGATTGGATATCGGAAGTAGTCTGCTTCAGCATACAATGAGGCAAGCACCAAACCCTGAACCCTAAATAGTAGTTTCCATTCTATTTTCCATTATCCCAATATAACCCCACTAAAACTCAAGATTACCCACAATATTACCCACAATATGACCCACAATATTACCCACAATATGACCACGATACTACCCATTATGTTGAGCCATGACGTGGATGAACAACGAACACGTCTCAGATCTTGGGGGCTGGGCTCTCTCGGAAGATTGTGGATTTTGGGAGTTTGAGAAATGTTAGGGTTTAGGGGTTGGGATTTAGGGTTTAGGGTTTGACGCAAACTTACTTACTCGTGCTTATAGGGATGATGTACCCATGTTCCCTACTCAGCAACAGGAAGCATATA